ATAAATGCCAAATAGTCCAGTATCACTATAACTTGTATGGAAAGCTTGGAATGAATTGGCCAATTTGTGTTTGTGAATGAAAGTTGATAGACGAGACGACAAATTTGGAGCAGCTCCCAACGAACGATCCCACGTGCCAATTATAGACTGGGCAACTAACAACGGATAATAATCGGGTGACGTCCATCCAACGCCTTCGATGGCGATTGCGATATGGGCCTGAGGTAGTTCATCATTCCGAATTCGAATTTCAGATCCGGTAAACTTTGGCGCTTCTCCGTGCTTGGCAATTAATGGGTCTGAAGATGTCCCAGACAAATCTGAAAAGTGTTTCTCAGCTAACCTGACAAGTTCTTCATGATCAACCCCACCAGTACCGACGAGTACCATACGATCTGCCGTATAGTTTTCGGCAATGTAATCTATGAGATCGCTCCGTTTCAAGGATAATATGTTCTCTTTAGGACCCAGAATAGTTCGACCCAAGGAGTGACCTATAAAGCCCCGAAAGGCACGAATTGGCAATAGCATCTTCTCAGAAAATATTATAAGAATTTAAATACAATAAAACAAAGCCATCAAAATAATTTTGGATTGCCAAACCATTGAAAGAATCTCACATCATGACCACATTCATACCTTGAAAAGCAGTGGCATGCAAGTGGTCAAAGACTACTTCCTCGTGCAATTTATCTACCTCCTCCTGTTCTCTTAAAATAACATCTCGTTCACGGTTAATCGCACCCTCATCCAACGTGGAATTCTGAATGATGTCAGCAAGGATCTCGACCGCAACCGGTACATCATTCTTGATTGCCTTTGCATAGTAAACTGTTTGTTCTCTCGAAGTGTAGGCATTAAGATGGGCACCAATATTTTCGATAAAAAGTTCTAATTGATGTTGGCTGCGAGTTTTCGTTCCCTATAACACAGATTATTTAAATTCGCGCACATCATTGGTGCATTGCAATACCGAAACGCATACCTTGAAAGCCATATGTTCAAGAAAGTGGGCAGCGCCATTGTTTTGTGCTGTCTCAGCACGACTGCCTGCATTTATCCACACTCCCACTGTTGCCGTTTGCACGAAAGGATTTGATTCAGTGGCAACTGTCAGGCCATTCGGCAGAACCGTCGAGCGCCATATAGGTTGTGAGAAATTGGTCTCTGTAGCAAAGGGTCGTATGAGCTAGAAAATAGTCAAATAGTCGGTAAACATATTTCCAAATCGGAAAATTGGGCAGTAATGGCGAACAATTAGGCCCGGCTCGATAAATTCTTATTTGGACGTCAAAGAAGATTAGCAAACAGGATAAATGCTATAAAGTCGATTTACTAAAAAACATAGTCGCTACCAATATTAAAGAGCGAATCTAAAGGCGGCGATAAAAGCGAATACCTGACTGCCCAAACTACGGCGAATAGAGCCCTTTAAAGCGCTGGAAAATAGGCGGGAAGCCATGTGTTGGACGTAAATGCTGAAAATTGATGGATACTGAAAATTTTGTCAACAAAATGAGTGGCTTGGTGTGGCTCTCATCTAATGATGTGGCTTTATGGCTGAAGATATTCAAAATTGAAGGTCCGTAACATCCCAGGCCGTTTTACTCGTCAAGCCTAAAAGCTTTCCGAAAATGTCTGCTAATGTTGAAAAACGTGCGTATTTGGTAATTCATAAAAGAAAACTGCGATGCTATAAAGATTTATACTAAAGATATACAATTTTTGTTAGTCAGGTCTAGCGTCAGCGAACTCGAATACCTGCTCGATCATTTAATGTCCGAGGGTAAACGCGCAATTTTATATAAATAGTAAATCGAAATTTAATCTACACTTGGATAGAATGTGAGCACATTGGGTTGTGAATTTGATAAGATATTGCATCGAATATGCGACTTCTATATTCTACTTGCTTTGATGTATTACAGAACAACATGATTTAGCCACATCTCTTCCCTCCTTAATTTCTGGTCTCGAAAGCTGCCGGCAATTGCTGGGTGAAGCTTTAGTTGACGGAAATACGCGAGCTCATGTATGGGATCAAGTCAGAAAGGCCGGTCAACTTTGTGCTGAATTGGCTAAAAATGGTGGATATTGTTTCAATGGAGATGTTTCAATGCGTTGTTTGTGGGGTCACTTATTAAGTATTAACAAAACCTAGAGAAGGCTCGAGATCCAATTGGTTCCTCTGGTGCTATCGAACTTCTTGTCACTTTCTTGACGTTGAATACAACAACAGAATTCCCACTAGTCGATCACCATTGTCTTCGAGCGATTGCTAACCTGTGCATTGATCATGGTGGGTCAAACTCGATGAAAAAATTGTTTGATACGAATGTGAGCTCAGATGTTGTTAACCACAGAACAGAATCGCAAGCGAATGCTAGACGTTGGTGGCGTTAAGGCTGCATTGCAAATCTTGACCAAGTATGAAGATTTGATGCTTTTAAGAACAGTGTGTGGAACTTTGCTGAATGCTGGCCTTGACTATGGTAAACGTTACTAAAGGCTAACTGCTTGTTGGTGAGCGCATATTTTGAATGATAATGTTATATTGTTTATCATAAACAGATCCAGTGAATATTGAGATTTCTAAAGTTGGTGGGGTCATGCCATTAGCACGTATGCTTTCACCAGATAATTTTCTACGGAAAGCAGGTGATACAGATCTCGCAACTTCTGCCGTGCATTTTGCTGCGCGAGTGGTGTTGAACGTTGTTGGGACAGGTAAGTGCCACGTTCGTAATCCTCGTTACACTTATGCTATGTTATTAACGTTCGACTGCCAATTAATCAACAGAAGAAGGAAAAAAAGAACTCGCCAATGTTGAGGCCATATCGGCGTTGGTGCAGCTTTTGAATTATACATCATCTCCGACTGCAACCGAGAATGATGCTGATATCTTGGATAATATTGTTGAAATATTGGAGATTATGGCCTTGGAAAATGGTTGGTATGAAATATTACGTTATTTGAAAGGTCTTAAAGTAGCCAAATTTCACTCTTACCTGCCCGTCTGCTAGATGAAACTCAACAGATTATTGTTCAGAATGGTCTCTTTACACCACTCCTAGACTACTTGGAGTTTGCCGAACCGCCAAAGGCAGCGGATAAACGTATTGATAAATTGTATGGAGAATGGAAAGCGGCTATCTTGAAAGTAATAGTTTCCGCTACAATGAATGGTACGGTAGATTATATTTCAAAATTCATCAATTATTTACCGTGAATTAAATTTAATCTTTGTTAACAGACGGGAATATGGATATTCTATTCAATGATACGGCCATACTCCAGCGATATTTTAGTTGGCTTACTCGCGGACCCGATCGCGATGACCTACAGGCGTGTGCTGCCTTGTCATTAGGCAACCTTGCCCGCTCAGGTGCGCTCTCTCACTTGGTATCAGCTAACTGATCGTGCAGTGGATCGCTGACTGCGCCTTGAACATATCTAGATGATCACTGTATTAGACTTGTACAGGAGAGCCGAGTCATAGAACTATTGATTGATGCTCTGCGAAATTCGGCGAATATAAAGGTTCAGCATGCAACCGTTAGCTTGTTAAAGAATTTGTCACTTCCAGGCAAGTGTATTCGCTAGTCATGTGGAATGACAGTTGTCGTTCGATGGCTAATCATTAATCCTATGATATAGCCACCAACAAATCGATCATTGGATTTCTCGGTGTCATTGAGGTTGTCTCGCAAATATTGACAAAAGATACTATACAGCCTGTGCAGTTTGGGGTAGTTGGTATCCTCAAACATCTGTCTTCGTTAAATAGTATGTATAATATACTGCTTGCACAAAGTCAACCGCCTTGCTAATTAAATTATTCTCTTGCAATTAGTACAAAACTCAAGACGTATTGTTATGGGCGATGATCCTGCAGACAATAGTGGAACAACCCCTTTGGAACGCCTTATGACATTGATTGAGCACACTGATGATATGCCCATACGGAGCGAAGGCACTCGTATTCTGGTTAATCTCATAAAGAACTTGTGGAGTAAAGACTTGGCTTCACAATTAGGTATTAACACGTGAATTTTGTCATTGCGGATAGACCAGACTTTGGTACCTACAAATATTCTAATACCGTCTTCGACAGACACAAACTATATCAACGATCTCCGCAAGAAATTGAATACTGCAGAAGTTGTCAAGCACATCGAGACTATGATTATTGACTCTAAATATCCTGTGCTGCAAAATGAGGGTGTGATAGGATTGACTATGCTTGTTATGGACGATTCAGCTACTGCTGGAGGTACATGATTTGTCCCTCTATTGCTTCATGCGCTTTATTATACATTAACTGTAACAATTAAATAGACAATGCCAATCCCGCGTTGGATGCTCTGACAACTGACTCACCTCGCAAGCAAACTGAATCACACTTAATGGCTGAAGAGTCTGCTGGTGAATCCTCGTCTGCGCCATCAGATTCACAATCATCTACTCCATCCACATCCTTGCTCGACACGTTGGTTGCTGTCGTGGTCAATAACTCTGACAAATATCCTGATGAGATTAGAGGCAATGTTTGCATCTTACTAGAAAAGACTGCAAATGCAGCTTATGGTTCTCGTAAGTAGTTGTATTCGTAACATGAATTAGACAGCTGAAATTAAACCGTTTTCCTCACTATTGTAGGGAAGCAATATTTGCGCGATCGAATCCTGGCTGCCTTCAAATCATTATTGGAACCAAATGGAGCTAGACCGATCTCTGAACCAGTTAAGGGTAACGTAGAGAAAGTGTTGCTTTGTTTAGATCAATAGACATGAAATACAAACGATAAATTGTTCGACGTTCTTGGGAGGATATATAAATTAGTCGTGTCAAATTTATTTTTACTTTATTATGACAAATGACCATCATTATTCAATTAATTTTTGGATGCGTACATGCATCATATTTGCATTTTCATGTTTCGGTCCTCAATAAAATATATGAAAGAAATAAAAATATCCAAGTATCTAATAATGACGCCTCAATGATCAAGAATTCTAAGATTTCCACTGACTACCTTGTTCTCAAGAATAGCACCTGTAGGAATGTCAATTCTATTACCATGATTCGCTACAATAATCACAGTCCCCCTTAATTGAACACCAGCCCCAAAAGTCACATCGCCCGTAACTGTGAGATGGTCGAGCTCGAGAATATGTGGTGGCGATTCGAAGCGATTAAGGAAATTAACCACCTGAAAGATAGTGGATGATTATCAAGATCATATTACTAAGAGACATACTTCCAAAATGGTTAACTGGATATAAAGCAGAATACAGTTTTCCATTGTCAATTACCTTCTTGAATTTGTCACCAAGTTTCACTAATGGAACCGTAGGGAAAACCCTTTGCGGATTCATCCTGAGCTCACCGTGATGCAGCGAGTACAAGTCAGAAGTAACAAGGAATAAATCGGAAGTTGATTTAACCGGCAAGAACCGATTTCGTGGCACATTGATCCCATGAGCATTCTTGAAATGCTTGATAGCAGCACCAACAGCAGTCTCTAATTGAAGAACTTTGACTCCCGAATCAAGTGTCTTATTATTAACGATAACTTCTAATTCGAGTTCTTTGTTATCAATGACTCGCTTGATCGCCTTCAAACTCATCCAAAGATTGTTGGTATTAAAGATTCTAAACTTTTTAATTGATTTAAAATCTTCAATATGCCCTGGCGGGACTTGAGCTACTTCTAGGAGTCTTATTACACCTCCATAATCAATTAGCGTACCACCCTTAATATCCGCCCTAGTTTTATCAGTGACTTCCATGATGAACTCAGAGTCCGATTCAACCATATGATTTAGGATATTCAAGTCAACTACTGCACCAAGATTATCGACGTTTGAGACAAAAAGGTACTCTTTTCCTTCGGAAAGTAATAGATCTACTAGGCCGGAATTCACGAGCGATTCGTACAAGTCACCGTGACCTGGAGGATACCTTAAATGATAGAGGCCAATTGGCGGATATTAGTCAGCATAATATATTCAACGAAAAGAACGACAAGGGGACGTAAAACAATAAATTAACTGACCATCCACTGCTATCGTCGTTAGGTGAACGTGGCATCGGAAGAAACGACTCCTTGTTCACACGAGGATAGCGTGATTGATTAAAAGTGAGAATACGGACATTTTGATTGCTATATTTTTGGACAATGCGTTTGGTTTCCTCGTCCGTATTGAAGGAATTCATAAGTATAAAGGGCACGTTGACCTTATATTTTTTGTTCAGATACTGTCGACCATTGATAAAATATCGGTTAGAGCAATTTCTTAGACACATGATTACTAATAATGATGAGTTAGGTAGCACTTAAGCCGATAATTATTGACTTGTTACAAGCTAGGGACTTATTAGGGAAGCTATTCATGCTATAAACAACAATAACAACAAACCTCAATTTGTCTGACACTTAGATCCAAGAAGGTCATTCCATCTCTAACTTCGATAGCACTCTTTGGACCGACACAGCCCATAGTCGTGCCAAGACCACCATTAAGCTTTAGTACTGCTAGTTTGTCTAGAATCTCTGTTGTTTCACATGAAGCAAGCTTTTTGTATAAAATAATCTGTTCAGGGCGAGGTTCCTTGACCATGTCCCAATCCCTACAGTTTTAATGATTTCGATTTCGATTATTCATAGCTCATCATTGGATTGCCAGGTTTCATTTACTTACAATTCGACCCCCTTCGACCTATCCGCTAAGTAACGAGTAAACATGTGATGGAAATTATCCATTTCATTTTTGAACGCCTAACATGATCAAGACGTCAACAAGTTGTTATCAAGAAGAGTATAAAGCATATTGATGGATGCCAAATGCATTTATATATACCTTACGCTGCCCCTCACTGACTTCAGGACCAAGCGAATGGATCATTTTGTTAAGCTCTGAGCGCATAGATTTAGCAGCAACGGCTGAAGTCGCATTTTGGAAATCCTGTTCAAAGAGATGACGCGAGTGAGCAGACTTCAGCGACGCGCTCAAATCAAGCATTGGTCACTAACCATGGACGACAGCGTATGCGGATGTTTGAGACTAGCGGTAGGGACACTTAAGGCACTCATTTCTGCAATACTTCAAAGTATCAAGAGAGTAAGGGAGGAGGTATATTCCAATTCGAAATGACACTTGCTAATTATGTGGTCTCGGCTGAACAGGAATATGATCAGCATAAAATTCAGTGCATATTTATTGACATTCTATCTGCATATATTAATTAATATTAATATTAATATGGGAAAACAAGAGTAAACATTACCGTTACCCCGTGAATAAAAGCGGAAATGTGAGCAGTGTCGATTAATTTACCCCTGTCACTGTAAATATCCTCTTTAGGGTGTGTATTTCCTATTGTCGGTGTTGTTATATTAAGAAGACACCTTAACAGCCTCTAATAATTGAGACGGATGGATATCTAATAAAGAACCAGGAAAACGATGGAATTCCATCGTCTTTAAACATGCATTGCATTTAATAGCCGTTCTAACAAACAATGTTGATGTCGATTATATTGAATTGGTCGAAAGGTGTTGATCGTCAAAACTAGTAATTGTACGTCGTTACGTTGAAATGTCAGTAGACAAAACAATGACTGGAAAACTATCATCATAGTCACAGTTTTAGTTCTCCGTTTCAATGCCAACCGAAGATATCCCAGTTGGCCATTGCTGATTATGTGCTTTATCACTATCAGAGCTATCGCAAATATTGCAAGAAACTATTCCATTCCCAGTAGCTCGGGTGTGAATCATATGTGGATTGCAAGCAATCAGCGTGGGAAATAAAATAAATCAATCATACTAATACTAATACAGTAATACTGTATTTGCCCATTAGATATGACGTCATATGGTCGAAATTTATTCATTCTGTGGCACGCATGGCACCAAGCTGTTTCTAGATTTTGTTAGAAAAACTTTTAGAACGTTCTCTTACCTTTAATTGGGTTTATTTGCAGATGAGACGTGCTGAGCGCCAGATTTTATTATTATCACATAAGCCGCTGAAATTGCGTCATCAGAGAGACAATGCACAGCTTCATGTAGAATGTATCCGCAAGTTCTTACATTTGTCCTAATAAATGTTTTTAAAACAAAGTAATGTAGCAACGGTATTTCCGAACTTGGCCAAATTATGCTGAAACATCATGGGCAAATCTGTGAAAACAGTTTAAGAATTCGCGTTGCATGCATATGAATAATGTAATATGTACACATAAACATACAGAAATAATTACAGACAAATATAGAATCGGTGTTTTATATGCTAATCGTAGCTGAGCGGCGTGTATCACACAAGTACACATGACTCTATTTATAGAAAGGTTTCTACACTAATAGCGAATATTATGGTAAGTTAAATTTTTGGCTCTGTTTATACCGAACGGGTTGGCATAGCTCTCTATGTCCTTCCGGAACCGGTATATGGAAAGTTTATAAGAGACTCGGGTATAAACAAAGAATTTTCATATGAAACGAACGGTGCGCAAGAATCAGTCCGTCCGATATAAAGAGATTCCGGTATATACAGTTCCGGTATAAACAGAGTTGACTGTATTTCATATTCTGATCAATTTCATCAAACTACAACTTTATTACAAAAACATACTTAGCAATATTTTCAAAAAGCTAGCTTTAAGATAGTGCAAAAATTTTGTTATTTCGCTTGGTAGATACGGCCAACAAAAAAATTATTATTAATTAATTTATTTTATTTTATTTTTTCATATGTTTTACTAATTGGTTCCGCGAATACCATTTTCAGGGAGTGATATTAATATTAATATGTCTGTTTGGGTTTATGTCGATTCCAAATAGTTTGAAATTGCTAAATTTATCGAATTGTATTATTCTCAAAAGAAAAAAAAAACATAAAATTGTCTCCTTTTCACATAGCATCTGTCTTGGTTTCATCTCTTATTCAATAAATTCTAAAACTGACATACAACAATAGAATCAGGCCAGAGATAACCATGAATAAGTTACCCACAATTGACCATAAATCTGCACTTGTCTTTTATTTCATACTTGGATCGAAGATTAGCCAAACGCTAATACAGTCGCACTTCCCTATAGTCACGCCTTTGGGACCGACAAATTGAATGATTATATGAATTTTCCTTAAAATCACATGTATGCATGAAACTGGGTACTTAGAATAAAAAACAATTTATTGTGCAATTTTTATTTTCATGCAAAATTTCTATCACATTAATACCACAATAAGCTTACAAATGCTGCCATTACACTGCAAGTTAAAGACATTCAATTGACACATCTGCTAAGATATTGCATAAGATTGGTTTGTTTCTTTGATTCTTCTTTCAACTTTTCAAAATCATATGGGGCATGCTGCAACAAAACCAGACAAAGTGAACATTCTATAAATGACAGGCTGATTATGATGTGGCTGTAAAATTGACCAGGTGACTGATGACGTTTTGGAAAGTAATAATGGTGCTCATTCATAACTTATAGACTTGTTAATTTTAATGCTCACCTTATCATACCAAAATGTGATGAATACATGTATAAACCATAACAGGATTAATATAGGGTTACCTCTATATATAAAAATATACAGTCAACTGCCGTGAATTCGACCGCCTCCGTTCCGGAGTATTAACGCAAAGTCGAATTAAACGTTTATCCAATCAGAAGCATTTAATGTAACAGAATTTTATCATACACGTTATAAACTAGCCTTTAGTAATTATCAACTTTATTTTCGGTTGAAATTTGCAATTAACCCAACAGAGTGAAACCGTGGTTACAAGCTTATTGTAA